TTTTTTTTTTTTTTTTTTTGAAAATGATTTAAGCACCCAAAATATGGGATCAAGTGAGGGGAGAGGTGAGGTGTCACCTCCCTATTGCTTATGAGTTGGCCATGTCAACTCATGCCAACTCATTATGCAAAAAGGAGGGGACACCTCACCTGTCCCCTCTCTTGGTCCCATATTTTGGGTCCCCGTAGCAGCACTCTTTTTTTTTATCGCCCACTGCCCTGAATTTCTTTACTCTTCCCGAGTCGTTATTAAAGCCCCCAGTTTGAATTGGGTTATTAGAACGTTATTAAAGCCCCAATTTGAATTGGGTTATTAGAAGGAGTGCTGCTACGGGGACCCAAAATATGGGACCAAGAGAGGGGACAGGTGAGGTGTCCCCTCTCTTGGTCTCATATTTTGGGTCCTTAAATTATTTTCCTATTAGAAGTTAATCCCTTGCATCTTCTGCGATTCCATATTAATTGCTCATCAGTCCCTCAAATCATAGAGCTCAACTAATAAATTAGTTGAGTTTGGGTTTTAGAGAGAACGGGTTGTGTGTTAAACCCATCAAGAAATAGATTAGCGTTAGTTGTAATAACAAGAGTATAACATAGAATTCATCTAAATTGTTAAAGATGAGGGAATATCCCCCTCAACGCTTGTCAACTAGAGGGATGAAGTTGGAAGAGCCTTATGAACTTGAGGGAACTAATGAGCACTTTCTTAGATTTGAGGGATTAATATGGAATAATTGAGGATTGGGATAAATTTCACTTAACACTTTAACACCCCTCTCTGTGGTGGTTTTTGCACGTAGCTCCTCTGAACTTTTTTTTCACTTAAACACCTATGAACTTTTGAGTGTCTCATTTAACCATCCTGAATTTTTAATATTTTACAGCGTACCCCAACGCTATTACCTGTTAATGATGAAATGACCAAAATGTCTTTTTAGAAACATTTTTTTGATGGACCCTTTTGGAAACATAATCTCAAGAAATGTAAAATGGATAAAGTGATAATATTACTAACCTTAGGCATATATTCATCCTTTACTATCGCAATACATGCTTGTCGCGTGAGACAAGTTTAGAATAGTTAAGGGGAATATGACCTGAGAAAGTATCTGATGGGTAAAGCTAATGGCATTAAAATATGCACCGAAATTATATTAATCATTGGATCTATGCACGAATCCCAAAATCTAATGATACAAAGGTTAACATTCATTTGATGCTATTTACCAAGTACATTTGGTACTTTTCCCTATAAAGGCCCTAATCTATCCTCATGACAATGCTATAAATGTAATATTAATTTAATGCCTGGTTGGATACAGACGGTGGCGCATTGCATCAATGGTACTCTGTGTAAAAGTAGCTACAATTTAAAAAACTTGAATGTGCAATCGCTCCGCTTTACTCAATAACACATCACTTACTTATACTGATACGGATCCATATTGATACACATAAAAATAATAATACTTTAATCATCTCTCAAATCAGAATGGCACGCCTTTTCGTAAGTGAACATCTTGAGCTAGCCTGTGGATCTCAGTTCAGGGCCTTCAGGCTCATCTTGTGCGGTAACGCCATTCTTTTCTACAAAACTACTCCCTGGGTCGAGAGTTTCTTCCGAAAATCCTATCCTTTATGTTGGAGTTGTAACTTAAAACTTGGGTTTGTAGAGGAAAAGAGGAAAAGTTTAGTCCCATATTGAAAAAAAGATGGAAAGATAGGTTCTTTATAAGCCTTCTCTTTCTCTCCTATGCTTAAAAGAAAATAAAGATTATGCTCCACACCACACACGTGCGCGCCGGCCGGGCCGGGCTCGGGTGATGCGCGCACACGACCTGCGGACACGAATGCAGCTCCGGATTTTAATCTGCTACATTTTTATTAACGTGATAAATATTTTGCGAATTTATTTCGTAACGGAAATATTTGATTTTGTAACGGCTAAGATTTATTAACGTGATTAAAAATGTATTAACTACGGGTTTATGAATAACGGCTGTTTTAACCCTATAAAAGTACCTAAACCCGAAGAGTTTTACACAGTGAAAAAAACACAACATTTTCTCTCCTCTGCTCTATTCTTCAAATTCACAAAGCCTTCTTGAAGCTCGTGCCGACGAGAAGGAGGTCGCCTGACCGAGGGTCGTTGTATCTCCGAGGACTTTTACCGCGTAGCCCTGTACGAGAGGGGGCAATTAGATTCTTGGGACAGTGCTTGCACGCCTCGACCATCAGGCCGTATTTCTAACTTTTATTTACTTTCTGAGTTATAATAGTTATATGTTTTTATCTAATTTCTATTAACTGTTTCAAACTAAATTTCGTGCTAATTATTGTCTAAACAGCTAATTTTCCCAACAATCCAAGAATCTAAATTTTTGCTGTTTAGAATAATATCATGCTTAGCACGTTTAGTATTCTGTTTCATATTATGTTTGTTATGTTAATACAGTCTACAACCGACATGCTACACTTGATTCTGTTGCTTGAATGTTTTAATCATATCTGTTGCATTATAATAACAAAATTATTCATTCATCATCAGATTATGGCTACAAGTGAAATTATGTCGGCTAAACCAGAGAAGTTTGATGGGAACAATTTCCGTCGCTGGCAAAACCAAATGAGATTTTGGTTAATAACTCTAAATCTAATAACTGCCATAGAACCAGACAACCCATCTTCATCTAGACCAGTTACTAGGCAATCTTCCTCATCTTCCTCCACCGATTCCATTCCTATCCCGAGAACACCTCAAAAAATAGAGTATCATTGTCTACACAGAATCTTATGAGCTTTATCTGATAGGTTATATGATATATATTATACTATCACTAATGCTAAAGTACTGTGAGAAACACTAGAGAAAAAGTATGGTTTAGATGATATGGGAATTAAAAGATTTAAAGCTTCTGATTTTAACAAATTTAAAATGGTAGATTCTAAACCAATGAATGAGCAAATTCATGAATTTAAACATATAGTTTACCAATTAAAAGTGAATGAATCTATCCTAGATGAAACATTTCAGATAGTCTGTCTTATAGACAAACTTCCCGAGTCCTGGTCAGATTTTGGCAAAAACCTTAACCATACCCAAGGAGATCTTACCCTTGAACAAGTGTTGAATTCCATTAGAATTGAAGAGCAACATAGACTCGGGGAGAAAAATATGATAAAATCTAAACCCAAAGAACCCAAAGTAAACAATGTTGAATCCAAACCATTTTCTCAACACAAGAAACGTCCCTTCCACCAAAATCAAAATAAAACATTTAAGAAGAAATCCTTTCATCAAAATAAGAACCCCGTTCACTTTCAAAAGAAGGAAGGAGCTGAACGTCGAGCCTGCTTCGTTTGTGGAAGAACCAACCACCTTGCTAAGGATTGTTTTTTCAAGAAAACTGAACCACCCAAGCCTAGGAAGGGAGGACCTCCACCTAATAAGTCACAAGTAAACATGGTGACTTTTAGTCCATCTGAGACTACTTTCAGGTCTGTTCTCTTTACTCCTGAAGTAAACATGACCTTTCAAGCAAATGATTGGTGGATTGACACTGGAGCTAATATTCACGTTTGCTCTAATCAATCTCTGTTTTCCACTTATCAGGTCTCAAGTAGAGGAACTGTGACAATGGGAAATAATAATGTGGCTCTTGTATCTGGAATAGGTCGGATCAACCTAAAGCTGACTTCTGATAAGATTTTAATCCTGCAGGATGTCCACCATGTACCAGACATTAGGAGAAATTTGATTAGCGGATCTTTATTAGTGCAACAAGGCTACAAACTTGTTTTTGAATCAAATAAAGTTGTGATAACTAAGGGATTGAACTTCATTGGAAAAGAATTTTTATGTGAAGGTCTTTTTAAATTGAATGTTAAGAATTCTACTCTTGCATCTCCAATAGCTTTGAATATCGAACCTTCAATCACTTGGCATCAAAGATTAGGACATGTGAATTATAATTCAATTAAAAGATTGATGCATCTCAATATAATTCTAAAGCTTAATATAAACGATGATGGAAAATGTGAAAAATGTGTAGAAGCTAAACTTTCTAAGAAACCCTTTAAAACTATTGATAGAGATTCTGAGATATTAGTGTTGGCCCTATTGTTTTGATGATGGTTTGTCAAACAATTTATCGCTAATCTATTCTCTAGTTTTTGTTGTTTTGTTTTTCTCTTTACAGGTAATTCAACACACGACAATCAAGTGTTAAAGATTCAAGTTCATGTGTGTGCATTCACCTAGGTATAAGTTTAGTTTGCTTACATATATCGTATGTTTATATGTAAGCTCAATATATGTACACTTAACACAATTTTGACGTGAGTTTTCACAAACAAAAATTGATTTTCCAAAAATTCCTTTTCAAACATGTTTATTTCATCATTTAGAAGCTTTCCCTAAAGTTTTACTATTTTTAGAATTGATTTAATATTTTTAATGTATTTTTAAAATCAGCCCAAAACCTGTCATATGTCATGTATCAGTTTGCGGTCGATCGTCACGGTCGACCGCCAACAGCAAACTTTCTTAGTATGGCTCTTATGTGCTCGCGGTCGACCGTGACAGTCGACCATGAATCCATCCAGAGACTTTCACGATCGACCGCCGCGGTCAACCGCCAGCTTTCAAACCCTATTCTCAGCCTTTTTTGTGCCTCGCGGTCGACCGCGAGATTTCCACGGTCGACCGCCGATCTCATCATTGCCTTTTAATGGTTATTTTCTACAATGGCTGTCTGAGGTTATTTTGATCTTTTCAAGTTGGTTTTGGCTGATATTTTGAGTGGGTATAAATACCCCATTGCTGTTCTCTTTCAAATATATTAAGAGTTTGTTTTTAAATAAGTTTTAACAAGAGATTAAGAGTTGTTTAAGAGCTGTTTAAGCCGAGTTCCTTAATCTTTTCTAAGAGAAGTTTTCTATAACAAGAAGAACCTTTCAACTCCTATTTGGGATCATCATCTACT